AGCGCGACCATCAGCACAACCACCACCAGCACAACCAGAAGCACAACCATCAGCCAAGTTCAAGCGCACAACGATCAGCGCAACCACCAGCACAACCACCAGCAGCGCAACCACCAGCAAAACCGCGGGCACAACCACTGACGGCAGTCCCTTGCAAAACTAGGAGTGCGAAGCCGAGTGCGACCGCACACTTTTGTGGTGCGTCATCCTGCTAGCAAAAACCTTGTTTGTTTTCATGCCGCGTCCCTGTGCCTTTTCTGGTGTTCTAGATCTCTAATTGTGTGTTCTGCAACGTTCGGAGCTGGGATATATACACGCGACAACCTAGGATGTTACATTCCCTGTTGTTGAGCATTCCTTGCCCGCAGTCTCAGATGTTATGGGGTCCTCAAATGGTCAGGAGGACACCTATATGTGGTAAGTGGAGCGACAGACACGCATCCAGTGTCGAAGGTCAGTGCGTGGAAAATGATGGATGGTGGCGCGCTTCCGGAGTGCTGCGAGCGCCCCGAGGTGTCGAGACTGACGCATGAGAGATTGAGAGAGGACAACAACGAACAGCGCCACAGTTCTGCAGCAGGCGCCTGCGACCCGACCCCTTGGCACGATGGAGCCAGCTGCACACGACCTCATGGGTTGGAGCATGGAGCGGACCGTATTTAACGTGAGGGTCTTGACATTGGCCAGGCGAAAGTACGACGGCTCGGACGCATCCGCGGAAAGCACAGCATTTTCGAGAGATGATCATACACTGGGTCAGACCGATCAGCACAGTCACGAAGCTTGGGCACCCCTTAGCAGACGAGGTCTTTGGGCGACACGCGGCAGACTAAGCAGGACCTGAGCGACCAGCGACGTGGAGGTCAAAAAGACAAAGGTACCGAGTGCATTTCGCGGGGGGTGTCCGAGGAGCAAGGCGAGATGCCAGCGTTGCACCCGATGAAGGAGGCGGGTAGTCATCCTGGCGCTGGAGAGCCTGGCGTTTCCACGGGCAGTTGCGGAGATCTCCCAACAGGTCGAGAAGATTCTCTTCTCCGCACCTCGCGCCAGGGATGGGGCGCCGGCGAAGCTCGCCTGCAGGATGCGGGCATGGCGCGAGCGGCAGCTTTGTCACCGTGCGGTTGACAACTACGAAAGCGGCCTACTTTGCAGGGGTTGACATAAACGAACCAGCACCGCCAGAAATCAGCTGTGGCAGAGAACCTGGTCTGCGACGCGATGGCCAATTAGCTGGGCATTGACGACGGCGGGCAAAAAGGGCCAGGGCCAGACGGACGACGAGCAAATCAGATCGGATGCTGATGCTTTGGGTTGTCGGGCGGCGACTATCCCGCCACAGCCAGGGCCGCGCGCGCAGGGCGAAGCGAGGAAGACCGCTGCCGCAAGGGAGACCAGCGGGGGGCTTCAAGGAGTCGGCGGCCGCGGTCGAGAGGCGGACCGCGCGCGGCAGCTGCAAGAAATTCAGACAGCGGCGTCGCGAGTGTCCCGATTGCCCGAAGAAGTCGGGGAAGCCAACGGGAGGTTTTGGTTTATGTCTGTGCTCGACGATGATGATCTGCAGTTGCATTGCGACAGAGGCGAAGATGGCGCCCAGGTCAAACCGAGAGGAACACGCGGGCCCGGCGATCGACGCCGAGACCCCGGGCAAGCCGGGATGGGGAGCGGCGGGCGCGGCCTGCGGCTTCAACGCGATGGGCCTCGACATTTACGAGAGGCGGGCGAAGCGATGCAAGGGGCAGCGCGACGACCGGGTCTGCGCGGCGACCGAGGGCGCCAGGGCCCCCGTCGCGTTGGGGGGCAGTTTTGGTGTCATTGTTGCTCGCTTGGTCAAGGGCGCCGCTCTGCTCATCCAGTCCAAGGCATGCGGCGCGGAGTTGAGAACATCTCTGCAAGTCTGTCAGTCGGAACTGGACGTGCCCGGGCAGAATATTTTGCTGTTTTCGGGCGCGCGGGCGGGGGGCAGCATCCACTGCAGCTAGGCAAACGAGCGGGGGCAAGCCTGCCAGCTGGGCCCTGCGCGCGAAGGGGGCTCATATGCATGTTGGCGCCAGGTCCGAGCGCGGGCATCCTCCGACGCCCATCGTCGCAAACCACTTCGCACCTGCTGTTCTCCCGGGCTGCGCGACGACGAAGATTGGGCGGCGCACCAGGGGGCGAATATAATAAACATCAAGCGGCAGACAGAAGGCGAACAGCGAGCCCAAGTCACAAATCAGCCACGCAAGCGCGACTAATGCGGGGATCAAGAGGCGCGCGGGGGGGGGGGCTGAGGCAGGGGCCGAGGAGATGAGGGGGTCCTTTTGCGAGCTAAACGACGTTAATAACACGCCACAAATCATGGGTGAGAGCAATACTACCAACATCAATCAGATCCGCGGCAAAAAGAAGCAGTCCGGCAACCTTGGCGACGGCAACCAGGTTAAGATGAACAGCGCCCGCAGCAACATAAAGCAGTACATCATCCAGCTCGACTCGAGCTCATCATCCCGACCTCGGCTTGCCAATTTTTTCCCATGTCAACATGTCGTGCGACGAGTTCCCGGTTTCCTCGACTCGGCTCCCGCGGCCTCCCTCGCTGCGCGGACCAAGCGCATCGGCGGCGACTGGCATGGCGCCGCCACGGGCTTGGGGCACAGCGCCAGTCAATGCCAGAGGGCCGAGGACAGCGGACAAGGTACCGACAGCAAGTTCACCTCCAAGTGGACCCGGCGCGAGACCAGCGTCGAGCCGAGACCCCCGACGGGAACCATGGTGCATGCCCGAGCGAGGGCCCCGGCTGCCGACGGTCGGGCAGAGGGCCCGCGGCCGCGACCCGATGGTGGAGACGAGTTGCTTACGCAGGTTTGGTGGTCACGTTGGGGGCGCGAAAGCCATCTGCGCCCAGTGGAACGTCTGCAAAGCTACACCTGGAGCGCTACCCGAGGACGGCTCCAGGGGCGCCGGCGGCGATGGCGATTTGCGACGAGCGCGCGGACCTGGGGGGGGGGCGGGGGGGGGGGGCAGATCATGAGTTGGGGGCCGAGGGTCAAGAAGGGGCCGACGATGGGGGCCGCGGAGGGGCCCGAGACAGCGACGGGGCGCAGCAGGGCACGGTCGACATTGGGGAGGCCCGCGGCGGAACCGGAGGCCAGCCCGCGACAGGCCCCAGAAACGAGGCGGCCAGTCCCGACGGAGGTGCCAGTGAGCGACGGGTCGGCGAGCTGAGAGGAGTTGGGCGAGGATCAGGAGTCGCCTCGCAGCACGGTTCTGACTGCTCTGAGGGAGCTCGCGCAGCGCGAGAATGCCACCGAGAACGCCGACGCCCTTTCTCGAGCGCCTGCGCCGTCACCTCCGCGCGGGCCTCAGCGAGAACTGAACGAGCTCAACGAGAAGGAGATGAGGGTCCAGCCGCTCTCTGAAGAAGCTGGGCGAACAGGAGGCGCCTCTCGCTGCGGATAGGGGGGCCGCGCCAGAGGGCTCAGGCTCCCCCGCCAAGCTCGATGAGACATCTGAAGACGCGATCGATCATCGCTGAGCGATGGTCGTGGTGCACCACGACCATCGCTGAGCGATGGTCGTGGTGCATCCATGTTGGACGCGACGGGACCGAGGCACGCGTTCGTTCCTACTGGGCAACATCTGCAACATCTACGAGGCCTGGGGCATGGCCGCGGACTCCGCCACCCCGCTGACGGCGGCCACTACGACGCCCAGGGGCATCTACAATAAGAAGCTCAAGGAGATCACTGGCAAGGACATGGGGATCTTCGTGTCTGGCGTGGCCATCAGGCAGGCGAGTAACGACATGCACTTCTGCATTGAGCGCGACGAGAACCCCCGCGAGTGGGTTTTCACGCCGGTCGAGAAATTCAGCCGACCACCCAATGCGTTCTGTGGGGAGGCCGATTTAATTGTTTGCCCAATTTGCTTGGGACATACCACGAGCTCGTGGCGGCGCTAAGCCAGGGGTGCATCGACGCGCCTTGCCGAAATATGCTTGGATACGCACACGCCCGGACTTGCGTGGGGTCGTAGGGGCAGCCGCGCGAGCCGCGCGAAGGAGAAGAAGGCGGCCGTCGAGAATCATATCGGCGAGATCGCGAAGCCTGGCGCCAGGTCGCGGCGCCATCTCCGAGCAGGCATGGGCGCTGGAAGCGACGTCGTCACCGCGCCTTCTGGAAGTGGGTGCGCGGCGCGCCGGGGGTCATCGTGGTCGACGGCGCGGCGGGCTTCTCAGCTGGAGAGTTCGCCGACGCGGCCGAGGGCGACTGCGCCGAGGTCAAGGTGGCGCGCGCGACCTCCCCATGGCAGGCGGGCAAGACCGAGCGCGCGGGAGGCATTTGGAAGGAGACCCTTGTCGGCGCCCGCCAGGAGTTTGACGACGCCAACAGTTGGGGTGACTCCCACGAGATCGTGGATTCCGTCAACGTCGCGATTGGCAAGAGCGCGCGGAGGGAAGGTGTCTTCCCCTACGAGTTGTTTTCCGGTTTTCGGGGGACTCCCTGAAGATCGCGGAGGAGGGGTCGCCTAGCCCGTCCGTTGCGCCGCGGGTTGAATGGCGACGCCGGGCATGCCGGGGGCGCTGACGCGCGCGACTCGCCCGCGGCGGCTTACGGCGAGGCGGACTGCTTGGAGAAGTTGCGCAGAACATGCGAACGAAGGACCTGGCCACCACGCGGGGCCATGTTCCAGCCAGGAGATCGCTGCTATCCCTTGAGAAGCAGCGCCGACCAGTTACCTACCAGGTGCTCTTACGAGGTGCCCCCCTGAGCTCTTACGAGGGGGGCAGTCGAAGCGCTCCCCTGAGCAGCTCCGCCCTGCCAGCGAGAGCGAGACGGCCGCAGTGGAGCAAATCGACAGTTCAATGCAGGGGGATCTGCGCGCGGAGAACCGCGGCAGACGCAAGTGACCTCCCTTGCCAGGAGAAACCTCCCAACGAAGCTGGGGATGCAGTTCCCAGCGCAGCTCCCCCCGAACCGGCTGGGGGCGATCAGCCGCCGTCTTCCTGGCAGCCGCCCGCGATGGGGATCGAGCGCCCCACAGACGTCGAGCCGTCGCCCTTGCCCATGGAGACGCAGCGCGGCGACCAACATGACGATGTCCCATCCGCTTTCCTCCGAAATTCGAGCGATCCAGCTGCGGCCGCGCCGGCGTCTCAGAGGATCGCCAACATCGGGGACAATGCCCAGGAGGACAGCCCGGCCCCACCCAAAAGGACGGGCCGCAAGGACAAGGGTCGAGCGCCAGTCGATGCCCATCTCACGCTTGGAGCTCAGCGTGGCAGGAATGAGATCACGGACAAGTCCTTAGTGGACACCAACATGTATCAGCCCCATTTCTCAGCGCAGCGGCGCGAGTGGAATGACATCGTGCGCGCTGGCGCCGCGCGGGTACCACCTCTTGGGGATGCGGATGCAGTTCGACAGGGCCCTGATCTCGCCCGTCGCACCGTGGGCGCCTGATGGATTCTGACGGACCAGCGGTCGGGGGCGGCGACCCCGGGGGCGCGGGCGCAGGCGAGAAGCCATTGCACGTCAAGAGCGACGGTACCTGGAGGATCGCCAAGGCACGGTTGGCGGCCCAGTTCGCCGTCCCCGATTTGCTCGAGTTGGAGAAGAAGGACATCGCATCCAGCATTTTGCAGATTATGCACGAACAGGTGGGCTGTCTAGCTGGCCAACATCACCTCCGCCCTCGCGGCAGGTGGCCCCCTCGATCAACCGTAGGGAGGCCTGCGTGTGGAACTACATCGGACAGGCACCCCCGATGTCGAGACGAGGCGCCCAAGACGCCGAAGAGGCCCCCATGGCCTTTCAGCGATTCATCTTCGACGGCTGCGTCTTCTACTTGAGGGGCCAGAAGGGCGCGCGCGGGATTATGGTCTTCGCGGTGGACGACGTCGCGGGCGGAGGCGACGAGCAGTTCAAGGGGGCTCGCGAGAATTCGCGCAGGGTCCGTTGGAAGCCTGGCGCCACGAGAAAGGCAGGCACACGGGCACTGAGTTGGCGCAGGACGAGGATGACGCCGAGATCACAGATCCCAGGGTCGCAGCTCGGAGCGCGTCCAGCTGATCGGCATAACTACGAAGCGACGGAAGGAGCCTCGAGCTCAAGTTACACCAGGTGAACTATACCAGGCCAGGAGTCTGCGCGGCTCAATTTTGGGGGCCAGAAGGAGTCGACCTTACTTGTCAGGTTCAGTGTCGCTAATTCAGGGCAGGATTCCCAACCAGACCGTGGGCGATTTGCTCGGGGCGAATAAAGTAGGGCGCGTGACTAAGGAGTTCTGCGGGGACACGCTCAAGGTATAGCACGCCCCCTTTTTCGCGAGCTGGCCTCCGCGGCCTGGGCATTTGCCAGGGATGGTGCTCCCAAGGCTGGCTACTTCGCGTTCGCTACGAGTCGGCAGATCCCGCAGGGCTAGACGGCCGCCATCTCTACCCAATCTTGGAAGGGTCACAACTGAAAGAGAAGGTGAGCCCACTTGTTTGGCGCGGAGACGCTGGCCATTTCGGAGGGGATGGCCATGCCAGGGCATATCAGGGCCATGTTGCTGGAGATCGTGGACCCCGAGTTCGACCTCGTGAGGCCTTGTTTGGTGGCGGGGGTTGCAGCCATCAGTGTCGCCGACTCGTGGCGGCTACGACCACGCCGCCAACCCGTAGGCTGGGTTGGCCGACGACTTGGGGGCGGCCGTCGACGTGGCCATCGTGCGCGCAGCCACGCAGCGTCCGCAGGCCCATCTTCGTTGAGTAGACGGCACGAGTCAGCTCGCCGATCTTCGCGCGAAACGCAAGGGTAAGAGCGCGTTCTTTCGTCGCGCTCCTGGAACTCGGAGAGCACACCCATGCCTCGGACAGCGCGGTGCCGCAGCGGCGCCAGCAGGACCGCAAGCGGAGGATGGAGGCCGCCTCCTTCGCCTGCTCAACGGGTTGCACAAGAGGAACCTAGTGGTGGGATTTATTTGGGATCTTGGACAGTCTTTCATTTATGTTTTCTTTCAGTATCCTGGGTTTCAATCCTGGGTTGGGCTTTACCTATTCTCCGCTTCTATTCTTTCCTGCTTCTTCGCCTTCTTTCTCTCTCTACCTTACGCATTTGGCGTATTGGTGGCTTCTCAGGTTTGTGTTATGGGAGGACCGACCTTTCAAGGCGCTTCATCATCATCATCATCATCAACGGGTTGCTGCTTCGCGGGCTTGGACCTGCACGGGATGGGCTGCGCAGGCCGAGGCCGACAGGATTTCGAGGATGTCGATTCGAACTACGAGCCTGAAGCACATCGCTGGACTCGCAAGGCACAGGGGGCTTTCTCTGCCCAGGCGACGGAGAGTCATATGCATGCGTCAAGGGATTCGATGAGGTCAACGGGTTTTGAGCTAGAACGCAAACCTTTGTCCATCACAACGTAAAGGGCCCAGCGGCCCCCTTTCAGGTGCGCAGCACGTTGTATTGAAAATGGTTCCTGTGATCATTATGTCTTTTCTTAGGTACTCAGTTTCAGATGTCATGGAGTTTTCAGGTGTTCATAGGGGGGTCCTTCAGCACAGAATGGGCAAAGCAGATACGGAACATTGTTGGCCGATGCCTCCCCGAGACACTTTGCGATTGGGGGGACGTAGTGGGGACCGACAGTTTCGGGAAGGGGCAAAGAGGGGGCGGCCTCTGCCTGAGGCCCCCTTGGATGGCCCAACTCCAGCAGCGGATCCGTGGACGTACTCTAGCGATGCCTTGCTGGCAGAGGCGGTGGTGCATGTGGTGCAATGCTGCGGGCAATTATGGTCATCTGCAGTTTCGGAAGAGGGACGGGCGTCAGCTCCGCCCGACCCCCCGAACACGATGCGGTAGGTTCATGCGGCGTTGGCGCGCTGGCGACACCGGCGAAGGCGTTGAAGATTGAATTGTGCGACGCAGAAGTACCGAGAGGCGATGTGACGCCAGTGGACCCGATAGAATCCAATCCTGGGCGGCGATCGTGAAACATCGACGCGGTGTCAGAAACCTTTGCGCGCGCCGGCGCCGCACAAAACTTCCGTACGGCCTACATCGCCAGAGGCGCTTCTGGGGCACTCTTCGACAGGAAGTCTCTGCAGGTTTGAGAGTTGCGCGGGGGGGGGGTCGGCGTCATTTTTGTGCTTTCCGGGGCGAGCGCCGTCATTCGGCGGCGAGCGAGGGGGGGAATGAAAAGGAGTTTGCCTTCTCAGAAGGCGGCGGGGCTTATTTCAGAAACGCTCAGGTTTCCTGTATTGTTTTCGGTGTTTTCGGGGAAAGCTTGGGACAATTTCTCGGAAGGCCATGGGACTCCCGAGCCTTCTGAGAAGGCCCGCCCGTTCCTTCTTGTGTTGAGGTCCCGCAGGGGGCGCTCGGCCGCCACAGGGCATCGGGGGGAGGGAAACGGGGTTGCCTTCGAGCCGAGCCAGCACACTCCCTGGGTTGTCCCATGCAACCGGGGGCGATCCGCATAATCTTGAGACACCCAGACGGATCCCGCCAAGTTGAATGATTGCGGGCTGGCGGTAGAGGGGATGCAGGGGACGCGATTCAGTCTCACACGGCTGGTGTCCTCGCAAGGAGGTTCGTGAATTCCAGAGGAGGAAGAGGAGAAAATTGGAATACCCGATGTCAGCAGCACGGTATGGTTGCGTCTACAGTTGCTCAAAACGGGAGTTGGTGTTTTTTTCAGGGGCTAGAGCGGCTAGAGCCCATGTTTCCGCACTGCCGAGTTGTGCCAGCCTGGGAGTTGGCGCCTTAATTTGCTTTGAATGGTCTTCGGAGGAGGCATTCGATTTGCTATTATTTCTCCTTGTCCTCCTTCCCGCGAGCTCCCACTCCTTGCGCCCCCGAGAAGGACACTGGCATGTCGTACGACAGCGGCGGGAGCTGGCGGAAAGATGACGTGATCATGGTCCATGGTGGAGGGTTGCAGAAATTCATCCCGCCGTTGGCTTTGCTTGATCTGGCAACGGGTCTCATCCAGCGTGAAGTACCCCAATTAAACATACGTTTATGTTTGCATTGCGTGCCGTAGAAAGCGTTAACTACATTGACACATCAGCAGACTTAATAGCAATGGAGTTCGTTTGGTATTTGATGGAGATCCCATCTCGTTCCAGCAGCAGCCGCAACGCTGGCTGGGCCCGGCACACAGGGATATCCAGCTAGTGAGGGCGGTGGGCCCATTTGTTCTCTGTTGCCGTAGGCCAGAAGGCAGGCATTTGCCAACACATCTGCAAACCGCGTTGGCTGCAGCTCAAGCTGGAGCGAGGAGGAGGAGGAGGAATCGGGTGCGCTGACTCGTGAGCAGGCAGGGGCCGAGGCCCGGTCAAACCACAGGCTCGGCCCGTACACGGGCGGGGCTGCCGTGCGTGGGGTTGCGTGTGTGCACCGCGCAGCGAAAACCGGTGAACAAATGAGGGCCTCAAGATGATTTCGCGGTGGTCCGCGAAGATTTCTTGGATCGGCGTTGGGCCCCCCTTGGCGGCGCCTCCGGCGCCGCCCCCAGCGCGCTGCGGAGGGCCCCGAGAAATCATGGTCGTGTAGTTGTGTGTTCTTCGATGGAGTATTCGGGTGTGCAGTCATCGGGTAATTCAAGATGCTGTCGCACAGGTGCGGTAACCATAACTCGAGCCTGCTTGGGGCATGATCTCGAGATGGTTTGCACGTTGCGGATCGCCTGCGTGCTCTCATTTGCGTCGCAACACACGTGGGTGGGGGAAACATGTGTGGGCTGATGTCTCCGTGGTTCAATTTCAATGCTTCGGATGGTTCGATGCATCTGCGGTGGTCTGGCCGCAGAGTCGCCACGACCCAGTTCGGGCCGCGCGTTGAAACACATATCATGTATACAATATGTTCCTCTTGAGAAATCCTCTTTCCCATTTGACAGATGGTTGCTCTGTGTAGCAACGCGGAGCTCTTATTTGTAAGGTTTCTATTATGTTCGTACAGTTGCGTGTTTCACTCCATTGCCTGGGCGCTCCAGCTAATTGAGTCCATGCGACCTTGTGGACACATATCAGTCGTCATTGTCTTCGCGGATCTTTCGATATAGGATTTTTTTCGGACCACTTGGGAGGCCTTTGTGGCTCTCTTGAAGTCCTCTTGGGGACCTCTTGTGACTCTCTCGGGGCACTTTCGGAGGCTGTTTGGGCGCTCTTGGGGCCATCTTTGAGGCCATCGATCAGATCGGGGGACTGACCATTTACCGCCCCCTCTCGGTGGCCGAACAAATGATTATTGTTGCGCTCCTGAGGCGCTCTTTTCCTTTCCCATGTGTTCCACGACTTCAACATACAGGCTGTCCTCTAGCACTGGCGGAAAAAACGGTTGCATTTGAGAGGCGTTGTATTCCTCACTTACAGCCACTGCGAAGTATTATACAACATCCCAGCCCCACCAGCTGGACACTCACACCATGAGAGAGTTAACAAAGCTGAGGAACGGGGTGTGCCATGTGCCTGTACCCCCCGAGGCCTAGACAGCCGTTGATACGTTCCACATGCGCGAGCTGGAAGATACAGAATGGCCCAACCAGCCAATTCACAAAAACCAGCACGTCATGATATAGGACGCGGGAGGGGGGAAGAGGGGGAGGGAGGAGGAGGAAGACGAGGAAGGGAAGATGGGGGACGAGGAGGGAAATGACCGCTGCGCACAACGCGCGGCGAAACCTCACTGGGCGAGGGCGCGGCCGCGGGGTGTGAGCCACCCGGCCCCGCCGTTAGGCGCGCGCGCGCCCGCGCCTTAAAACGAGGGCACGGGGAGGACGGGGAGGAGGAGGAGGAGGAGGGGGAGGGAAGGGGGGAGGGCAGATACGAACATGACCCCGACTCGCATCATCTATCCTCGTGCGCTGCGCGCCGGAGAAAATAAAACGCACCCAAACAACGGTACCACAGTGGCAATGTAAACGGTCGCCGCCAAGGCCGGGCAGATCGACCCACGACTAGTCACAGAGCTCCCAGGGAGAAGGGAAGAAGAGGAGAGAGGCCCGAAGCGGTGGGAGCACAGGGCCTGGCACAAGCTGCTGCGGCGCTGCGGCCTCGCCGAGGCGGCGCCCTCGGCTAACCCGAGGGCGCGGCCGCGGACGCCGACCCCGCAGGTGACGGGTCGACGCTGCCAGGGTGCCCGCGCCTGAATTCCACGTCTGGGTCGTGATAGGCATCGTCCTCATCAGCGACCTCCTGGGCGTGGCTGGGCAGGCAGCGCCGGATCATTCGCGCCGCTCGCCTCCAGATTTCGGTGGAGATCCGGCACCAGATCCGGCGCTCCTCTACGTGCACTTCGGTGCCCTTGCGCCGGGCCACGCGGCGAGCCAAGCTCGAAACGAGCTGCTTGGCCTGCGGATGCGGGCGCCCAAAGCAACTGAAAGTGATGGGTCGGTAGTCGACGCCCGCCGCGTCCAGCTCGTGCGCATATGGCGCGAGCCGATCGACCTTGCGACATCGCATCGCCTCGCAATAATCCGTGCCGGCGCCGCGTGCCGCAGGGGCCGCAATCCCCACGTCCAGAGCCGCAAGGCGCGCTGTGAGACCAGAAACGCCTGTGAGAACATCTGCAGGGCGGAGCCCTGGACGTGAGGAAACGAGGCCCGTGGGCTCACGCTCCGTCGTGGAATCGAGGCTGCTCGCGATGTCGTAGAGCTCGTCGCGGACAGCATTGTGGCCGCGCGTGCTGGGCACGCATGCGCATCAGAGCCCATGGGTGCCGACTGGCCCAATCACCCCGTTGCCGCAGTTGCCGCACGGAGCGAAGTCGTCTGGACCCGCTGCTCCAAGCCGCAACCGCAGGGCCGTGACGAAGTCCTCCTTTGAGAGCGTCTTCCCCTTGTTCGGGTCCACGGCCCACAGCCACTCATGCGAGCCGTCTGGATGGGAAAGCTCGCTGAGCAGCTGCTCGCGCTCCCAGTCGCCGGCCTCGCGCATCTTCGCCAGGAGGCCGTGCGCGACAGTGGCATCTGCAAAGCGTACGAGCTCGCTCTGCAGCCGCGGCCCGCCCTTGGGCGCTGGGGAAGCGGGGTGCTCGGGGTCCTCGGTGCCGGCGTCTGGCACGAGGCCCGCGGCTGGGCGCCTGCTGCCCCGCGGCCGGGCTGGGCCTTCCGCCCCCTCGTTGGCCTCTCCATCGCCCTCCTCGCCTGAACACCAATCCCGCCACCTCCTCTCCGCGGATTCGGCTGCCCTCTCGACGGCGTCGTGGACCTGGTCCCGCGCGCCCTGGGGGAGGGAGTCGAGCCATCTCCGAAGTGCTGCGTTGGTCCGCTGGTCGTAGCGGTGCAAGAGCGACACTCGTGACCCGATGCCAGCGTTCTCGACGTGCTGGAACATCTCGTTCACGAGCGGTCGCGACGATACCCGTCTCGCAATGAAGGCTGGGAGAGCTATCACGGCAGACTCCCGCATGCCAATCCCGCCTGCATCAACGGCCAACGTGGCTTGGATCCACCCTACGTCTGGAAGACGACCGGCCAGCGAGTCTCGACCCCAACCCGGAGAGAGTCATCGAATCGATGCAATTCGCATTCTGGAATCCGGAATCCGATCGCCGTTGCACCGCAAGATGTAGGAGCCTTTGCTGACGTCCAAGAAGCGGCGCTGCAGCGTGAGCTCGCACTGCGGGTGGTCCAGTTCCATGATCGACGCCCGGGCGGCCTCGACTTTGAGGACGGCCGCGCGAAAGTCCGAGACTTCCTGGTCGGCGTTCCCCACGTGCACCCCTAGGACCTTCGGCGCGGTGGCCGCCTCCTCCACGCGGCACGTGTCAGAGATGTACCCGTTGGCCCACCCCTGGAACTCGGTCATCCGCGCTTCGGGGCACAGGAGCCGGGCAACGCTTTTGCAGGCTGCGCCGGTGCTGCGGCGCCCTCCGAAGGCTGCCAGGGCAGCGTCGACAGACCGAAGCCAAGCACTGGCCAGTGCAGGCCGAACGAAGGCCTGGCCGTCGTCGATGAACCACTCGTCCACGGCCCCGGCACTCGGAGCGTCTCCCAACGACCCCTGGTGACGCTGCCTGTGAACCCCGATGTGGTGCCCGAGGGTGAGCGAAGAGGTGCTCGAACCAAAAACGTCCCCTTGCCCCGCACCACGGTCGGAAACAGCAACGTCTCCGGAGGGGAGCTCGATCTCTTCCGGCGTCTCGTGCTCCCACTGGAACCATCCCTCTGCCTCCTCGAGATCGCGCCGAACAGCTTCGCGAATCTCAGCCCACTCGACTGCCGAACATGTTCTCGAGGTCCAGGTCGAACGCAACAAGGGGCTCCAGCGTGCCGTCCATCGCCATCTCCTCGACGTGGCCTCTCCAATGCACTAAAGCCTCCGCGCCCCCAGGCATCTCGACGCCCCACTGGTGGTACTCGCGGAAGCGTTTGCGCAGTCGAGGGGCTGCCTTTTTTTGAGCCTTTTTGGCCATGGCCCCCCTAAGGAATTCTCCCATGCGCACGGGGCGTGGCGTGGTGGAGATCTTCTTCTTCAAGAAGATATGGCGGGTCCTCTTCAACCACCGTGCCTCTGGCCGAAGGTCCCCGCGTCGTATTTTGTCCTGCACGCGCAGCAGTACCCTGCAGAGCTTGTTAGCAACCACGTGGCTCTTGCACCCGAGGCATTCCTTGGCGTGCTCGGCCCTGGTTCCAGTGGGCCCTGGGGCAGTCAGGGCGGCATACCTCACACCTTTGAGGGGATGGTCATCGCTGTGGGAGGCAGGTCCAAGAGATGCTTCCTGAGATGCGCTGCCGTCTGGTCGATTCCCGTGTCCGCCCTCGGAGGTGGAGTTCCCGTCGGAGGGCTGGGCGCCGCCTGGGCGGACCCACAGAGCATCGGGCCGCTCGGACCTCGGGATGAGCTCCGAAGCATGTCGTGCCTGGGCCTGTGCAGAGAATTGTGCATCCTCGGAGGTCATGGTGTTGATGGCCTTGCGGTAGGCTCCCTCTGCTGTCTGCTTCCTGCTCCTGCGTTTCTTGTCCTCGGCGGCGTCGTCACGTCTCCTGGACCTCCTGCCTCTCCTGACCCCCGGGCCCAGAATGCGTTGCGCTTCAAGGCGAGACGGTAAAGCCTCGAACTGCTTCGCTTCCCACATGCGTGTGCGCACTGCGATCTCGGTCTCCACGTGCATGCCTTGAGGTGGGGTTGTGAGGAGCAAACGCGAACGCGCCTCCTCCAGCGCAGTCCAACCCGGAAGATCCTTTTCCATACCCTCCAGTGTGGTTGCCCATCTCCGGGCGTGTCTGACCCTCAATGCGATGGGGATGTGCACCTGCGTGGCACCACCCGGCAATCGCCGCACTCTCTCGATGAAGCCGGGAGGGAGGGAAACGTCGTCTGCGTGGGCGCTGGCATCGTGCCCTGCCTGCGATGCCCCTGCGGGGGGTTCTGCGGCCAGAGTGGCCACACCCGTACGCGGGCCGACAATCAGGTCCCCAACGGCCAGCGGTCTGGTGGGAGTGCTGCGCCTGCAGTGGTTGCAGGATGTCATGCCGGCACGCCTGATGCCGCCGCACCCAGCCCCTGCGCAGGCCACACGCTGGAGGCCGCGCAGCGTGGCCAGGAGTTCGTTGTCGATGCTGCAGCCGGCATGCCTGACCGTGAGGTGCCGCATGAAGCCCGGGGCCCCATTAGCGAATTGCTGCTGGCAAAGAGTGCATGTGATGACGCCGCCAGGGAAGGCGGCCCCCTCGGCTGGCGGAGGAGGAGGGGGAGATGCAGCGATCTCGGCTCGCAGCAGCCTCGCCGCCGCCGATGCGCGCGCAGGCCTGCGATTGCCTCTTTCCCCACCGTCCTCTCCTCCGCCCGCCATGGCCGCCGGATCATCGAGGCGGGCTGCGTCACCGACACCCTCCGGGCCACCGGCAGCTGCCCGTCCAGCTCCTCCTCCTCCCCCACCTTCTGCTCCTCCATCACCTCGTCCATGCGCTGCACCAGCGCGTGCCATCGGCGTCGACACGTCGTCGTCACGTGCTCGGACTCGGCGCATCTCGGCCAGGGGGATGCCCGCGTCTTGGTCCATGCGAGCCTCTGGATTCAGATCCAGCTCGCCGAGGAGCATCTCGAGGCCGGCGTCCTCGGCGGTGCGCCTCCCAGCAGGCGCGCCGCCCTCGGACATGGAGGCATCTGCGCCAACAGGAGCGTCAAGTCCACGCGGCTCGTCGCCCTCGGTGAGGTTCAGCCGGAGTTGCCGCCTCTGCGGCCGGTCTTCGGCGATACCGTCGATGAAGGCGTTCCGCACTGTCAACACTGGCGCCTCGGAGTACGGCTGTTGCCTCGCCGACCTCGCAGCTCGCTGAGGCCCGAAATGGTCCTCGACCGCGGGCCTGGCGTCCCGATCTGGAACGGCCGGCCGTGCGGAGGACGGCTGCCCGGCAGCCGCTGCCCGATGAGCACCGCATAGGTCCCCACCAGGCTCCGCCTGCCCGTCCACGCCGCTCGCCAGGCAGAGGCGGCACCGCGTTGCCATGGGCACCTCAGCCGTGGGAGCGGCACCCCTGCCGACGGCTCAGCGGAGCATCAGCGGCGAGCCATCGCGGCCAGGATGATGATTAGGGGTATGGCGAGGAAGAGGATGGCTTGAGCCAACTACAACTTGATGGCTTGAGCCAACTACTTGAGCCAACTACTTGAGCCAACTTGAGCCGTCTTAGGCCCCTCTTGCGACCGTGTTGGGTCTTTCGGACCATCTTGAAACCATCTTCAGGCTTGACTAGCCCATCGGAAGCGAAGAGGCGAGAAAACACAAACATTGAGTGCCTTCAGGTGTTGTACGTGAGTTTGGCCTCTCGGGGAATTTTGAGACTTCTTGGAGGCATGTTGTAAGCTATCTTGATCCATCTTGGGCTATCTTGTGCGATCTTGGAGGCCATCTTGGGCTACCTGGGGCCCTCTGGGGGCCATCTTGTGTGACCTTGAACGCTCTAGCAAGTCGCGGTGCAACCCTTCCAGACCCAAGGAGATTCGCAGGTGGGGGGAGAGGGTAGCCTCTCCCCAGCGGGAGTGAAGGAGGTTGGAAGAATTGACTTGAGAAGCCACCTGCGCCCAGAGGGCTCGTGTGATTTTACCGTAGGCTCGTGCGAGCGACGAGCGACGACGACGACTGGAGGGCGACGTCGACGGCCAGGGCCGACGACGACCGATAACGACGACGACTTGCTCGATCCAGCTCTAATGGAATCCTATTAGGGTTCGATCCAGTCCCAATATAATCCTACTTGGGGTCGACCCAGCTCCAATACAATCCTAGTAGGGCTGGGTCCAGCTCTAATGGAATCCGTCCAGGGCTCGATCCAGCTTGATTGAGTAGAACCTTTCTAGGGCACGATCCAGCTCTGATCGAGTCCTATCAGGGCTTGAGACACCTCTAATAGAACCCTACCTGGCCCCATCCATTTCGAGTAGAACCCTATTAGAGCCTGATCCAGCTCTCACAGTTTCCCATTGCGGCTCCAGCCAGCAGCCAGCACTTGTAAGGTCTAATATCGGAGGTTGGGGGGGGAGATCGAAGTGGAACGGAGAGCCCCCCTACCGGGAAATCGATTTCAGTTTCGTGTTCGTGCGTGCCGTGCGTGCGGGCGAGGCGAAGCTGCGTGGGCGGGCGAGAGGAAAGTCTCCTGTGGCTGTGGCGCGGCCGGACCAAATGATTCCCTTCCGGCAACAGGTGGCGCGCGGTGTCCCGCGGGTGTCCCGCTGTGGTTGAGGCGCGGCCGGACCAAATGATTCCCTTCTGGCAACCGGTGGCGCGCGGTGTCCCGCCGGTGTCCCGCCGGTGTCCCGTCGGTGTCCTGATGATGACGGTGATGATGATGATGATGATGATGATGATGATGATGATGATGATGACGACGACGACGACGACAACGACGATGTTGATGATGATGATGATGATGATGATGATGATGATGATGATGATGATGATGATGATGATGATGATGATGATTATGGTGATGACGGTGATGATGATGATGCTGCTGGTGATGATGGTGATGATGGTGATGATGATGAGGATGATGATGATGGTGATGATGGTGATGATGGTGATGATGGTGATGATGGTGATGATGCTCGGCGCGAGCTCGAAAGAGCAAGGAAAAAAAGTGACGATGGCGGTGCGTCGTCAGATCAACAATCACCACTGTTGCCCATTGCTGGGCCCCTCCCCCCAACCTCCTTCTCACCCGCAGGGTAGTCGTATAGGTATTCATTCCAGGGCTCGATCCAACTGAAGAAAGTCTTGGCGTAGTCGAGTCCAGTTTTCATGGAAACCTAGCGTGGTACGGCCAAGCGGTTATACAATCCTACAGGGGGTGCGTCCAGGTCTAATAGCGGGGGGGTCACTCGGGGTTCCCAACCCGTCCCCCCCCCCTCCAGAAAACCGGGGGGGGTCGCTACCGGTTCGGACCCAGCCCCCCCTCGCCGTCGGCAAACGAGTCTCGCTTCTCGGGACAGTTCGACAGTGGTGGGGATGCTGAGACACTGGTCTGGACGGCGGTGGTGGGGACAGTGGTGTGCGGACAGTGGGATAGTGGTGCGGACAGTGGGACGGTGGTGGGGACGGTGGTGGTGGGCACAGTGTTGATGGGGACAGCGGGACAGTGGTGGCGACAGTGGGGACAGTGGGACAGTGGTGGGGACGGTGGTGGTGGGGACAGTGGTGAAGGCAGTGATGAGGACGGTGGTGGGACAGTAGTACAGTGGGGAGAGTGGTGGGGACGTTGGGGACAGTGGGACAGTCGCGGGGACAGTGAGTACAGTGGGACAGCACAGGGGGACAGCGGCGGGGACAGTGGGGACAGTGGGACAGTGGTGGGAACAGTGGAGACAGTGGGACAGTGGCGGGGACAGTGGGGACAACGGGGAAAGTGGGACCGTGGTGGGGCAATGGTGGGGACAGTGGGGACAGTGAGACACAGGTGGGGGCACTGGCGGGGACAGCGGGGCCAACGGTGGGAGCAGTGGGGACAGATGGACACTGGGGGGGGGACGCTGGGACAGTGATGGGGACGGTGGTGGTGGGGACAGCGGTGTGGAGACAGTGGGACAGTGGTGGAGACGGTGGGGACAGTGTGCCAGTGGTGGGGACAGTGGTGGTGGGGACAGTGGTGAGGGCGGTGGCGAGGACGGTGGTGGGACAATGGGACAGAGGTACAGTGGGGACAGTGGTGGGGACAGTGGGGGCAGTGGTGGGAACAGGAACAGCGGCGGGGACAGCGGCGGGACATTGAGGACAGTGGGGGCAGCGGGACAATGGTGGGCATCGTGGGGAAAGTGAGGAGAGTGGGACCGTGGTGTGAACAGTGGTGAGGACAGTGTCCCGGTTTTCCAGCGGGGGGGGGGAGAGATTAGGGGGGTTGCCGGGGGGAGGGGGGGGAGGGGGGGAGGGGGTTATCCATTCCCGCCCAGCAGGGAGGGATTTCCGAAGGGGGGGGCGGGACCCCCAGGTTCCGGAGGAAGAGGGGGGAATTTTCCACAATGGCCGGCGGTGGATCACGCTCTCTCGCATATTCCTATCAGGGTTGCCCTAACAGAATCCTATTCGGGCTCGATCCCACTCTGATCGGATCTTACAAAGGCTCGATGCAGCTCTCGTAGAATCGCATCAAGGCTATACCCAGATTTAATGGGGGCCCCACATGCTCGATGCAGCATTTATGCAAATCTAGAAAGTTTTGACCCAGGCCGAAACGAGTCCTACCAGGTCCCGATCCAGGTTGGCATGACACGAGTGCTGGGCCCAACTGTATCTGAACTCGACTAAAACTCGAACCAATTCGAATTGAATATTATCCAGCTGGGTCTTGCTGTAATATAATCATTGAGGCTTCGATCCAGCTCTAGCAAGAACCTGGTGTAGCTCAATGTTGTGTTGATCGAATCTTACTTGGGCTCGATCGAATTCTAACATCGTCTTAATAGGGATGGATGCATGTCTAATATAACCCAGCGTGGGATCGATCCAGTTTTTAATGAAATTCCATTAAGTAGGGCGCAACCTAGCTCGAGTAGAATCCGATCAGGATTGGGTCCAGGTCGGATTGGATCCTACCGAAGCTCGATCCAACACTAATGCACAATGAGTAAGCTTGGATTCAGTTCTAGTACAATCCCGTCAGGGCTGGGTCCAGATCGTACAGAGTCCTTCTGAGGCCTGGCTCAATTCACGTTGAATTTCACCAGGGCCCGATCCTGCTTCAATGCAATTTCTATTAGGCCCGATCCAGCTTCAATGCCAAGGCTCTGTCGTCAACCTCGGCCTCGTCGTCCTCGTTGTCGTCGTCGTCGTCGTGGCTGCCCGACGGCGCTGGCGACAGCGCCGGAGCCGGCGAAGCCGGCGATCGCCGTCGTTGTTTGCCACTGGCGAGGGCGAGGGGAGAGAGGTGGTTTGACCCCCCCCGCCCCCCTTGCAATTCAGGGGGGGGAGGTTCGACCCTTCCTTTTTAAGGGGGGATCCTCCCTTCCCGGTTCGAACCGCCCCCCTACCCCCTTTCAACTCATGCAACTCAGGGGGGTCGGGGGCGGTTCGACCCCCCCTTGTTTTCAGCGTTGACAAATCGCGCTTTTTCATATAAAGAGAGAAAGCGAGAGAGAGCGAGAGAAGATAGGTTGGTCTCTGGAGGTCGGTCCTTGGGGCGGTCTTTGGAGACCATTAGAAAACGTCCATTTTGTTCAGAACCTCATTGATGCTCTTGCTC